TCTTATACAGGTGGGAAAAAAACCATGGTGATCAGAAAAAGGAGAGAGAAGCCTGACGCTTCTCAGAGCATCTCTGAGATAGAAAGGGATAAGGAGTGTGGGGAGAGGAGGGAATGCGGCAAGGCTCGGGTGGGCTCCCTTAACCCACTGCTATATCTTTGCTCCTCCCTGCATGCTTCTCCACCCCTTCTGCTCTGAAGGGAGGGATCACAGGCCGTGGTCTCCCTGGGTAGGTATCCAGGGACAAGCAGCATCCCTGCCTGCAGAGCACCGGGCAAAAGGGTCCGACCCCTCGTGCCCAAGCCCAAGGCTCACATGACTCCACCTTTCCTCCCCTTCTGACATCAACATCTGGACCACATCTGTTCACACAGCTAGCTGCAAAGGTTTGCTGCTGTGGCCACCGTTCATCACCCAGCCCAGCTGGAGTCTGTGTCTCTGACCTGGCATCCCCTGCCCATGGCGTCACCTGTGTCATTTTGTCCCCTGGTGTTTCGAGGGCTTTCCCTGACCCTGTGTGACAAGGGTTGTGCCCACCAGCAGGGCACAAGGGTGATGGGGTGCAGCTGGATGGGGTTTCTGCTCCTCTCATGCTGTAAAGCTCTGCTCCCCCCTTGCCCCATCAGCTGGAAAGTCAGTCTCCACTGACTTTCTTCATAAAGGTCCATGGATGTGTATGTATTCACAAGCACATAATTACCAAGCTGGGTATTTTCTCCTCTTAATTAGCAATGCCGTGGTGCTTTAATTGCTCAATTAAAGTTGCCCACGAGGAAGGTTTAAGGTACATTAAATTTGCTGATTGGTTCATCAGCATGAATCCCACTAACTGAAAAAAATTAACTGGCTTCCAGATTGCTAACCAGACTCTCCAGATCCATTTCCACCAGTCGTGTGCCACAGGAGGCATGAGAGAGCCCAGCAGCAGAGGGGTTTGTCCATGAGGGGCCAGCAGTCCTTCTCCTATTCTCACCTCTCCTTCAGTTTGGGAGCTGGAGGGGAAAGGGTCCCAGCAGTGACAGGTTCCCTCTCTTCCTATCCAGAGGCCACAGGCCATTTTTTCAGCTTAAGCAGAGCTGGGTAAAGCCTACCCCAGAGTCAGATCCTCGTTCAGCCGCACACATCAGACCCCTGTTTGGTACCTGTTCTCGCTCAGCCCTGGCAGGCTTACAAACACTGGTCCTCGTGCGCAAATAGGCTGATGGAGCAGCAGTTGCTTAATTGTTGCTCCCTAATCACTGTTTTTCAGCCAAAGGCAACAGCCAAGCTGAAGCACCCAAGCACCACAGAGGGAAAGCAGGCAGAGCAATCAGGACACCCGGAGGCTAAGGTGCCTGGTCCCAAACCTTTGACAAGAATGTCTGAACAGCAAGTCCCACTCCTGAAACCCATGGATATACTGCAAAGATGCTCTTTGGGACCTGCATTTCTGCCAAAGGCTCATCCACCCACTCTGACAGCAGGAAAGGGGTCCTGTCCTTTCTGGTTTACCCTTTTTCATTTGTTCATTAAAGAAAAAGCTTCCTGGGAGGTTCTGACCCCCATGCAAGGTCCACAGCCCCAAAGCCTTGGTGGCTCAGGACCCCAGCAGCCCTCCCCAAAGAGGGGCTGGCCAGGGCTGGTAGGAGGGGTGTGGGTGAAGAGCCACTGTCCTCACCTGCCTGAGCTTCTCCGTCCACCTCTACATCCATGCACAGGACGTGGTACATGTGTCCCAGCTCTCAGCCTCACAGCTGTTTGAGGAGGTGGCTTGTGGGTTTCTTCCCACAGAAGCAGACCCAGGGTTAAAGTGCTCCCCTTTCTCATTTCTCTAATTGCACTGACCTTACTGGCATGGGTGCCTATTTGTCCTGTATAGCAGCAGCTGCATATAAATAAGGTGAATTATGCTGATTGTCTTCTTATCTGATAAATTGCTGGGACAGATCCTTTTCAATTATGCTACTGCTTATTCTGCTGTTTAGGCAGAGCAGTTGCTATTTGCTGTGTGTAAGAGATACTAAAGTGTCTTGCTGTGGACTGATAGGTTTCAAGGAGGAAAGAGCAGCACATCCAAGGCTGGCTGTGGATGATGGGGGATGAGGGAAGCAAAGTCCTTCAGAGCCTTGAAACTGGAGGGGAAAAGTGAGTCGGGCAGCAGGACTGTGCTGCCCTGTGCGAGAGACCCTGAGGGGTTTCATCCTTGGGGTGGCTGTGGCAGAAAATGCCATGGGACTAGCTGCTGGGAATTTTCGGAGCTGGCAGACCCCAGGACCCCATCAGCAGCTGTGGCAATTCATGCTCAAACCTGGTTTCTGTCCAGTAAGGCACTGCAGCACCCATGCCCAGCCACAGCTGGAAAACGCGGTCCTGTGCCTCTGAGGTAAATCAAGCAGATGCATGAGGCGCAGATGCAAGGGACAAAGGTCCCTTGTGGGTGTGGTGCAGGGCTGTGACACACGTGATGCCAGGCTGGCTGGTCCTGACCCCAGTGCCCCTGGGCTGAGATCTGGCCCCCCCGAGCCCACGGAAAGTGCCCCTCACATCCTTATGGCAAACACCAGGACATCGCAACAACGTCCGGGACTGTGTGGATCCCGCCCGGATAAGTGCAAGGGGTCAGAGATTCCAGCCACCACCCTCCTGCCCAAATAAAGGGGCATCCAAGGTGATAGCTGACAGTAAAGGGGACGAGGGGCAGAGAAGTTCCTGGGTTCCTCCGCGTCCTCCACCACCTCCCACCCCACGCACAGCCCTGTGGCACAGCCTTTCTTCTCCTCTGAAGGGCTGGGAACAGCTCTGGCCATCCTGAGCCGTGTTCCATCACTCTGGCAGGTCCTTAGAAAAATGAACGTTAAAGAGGAGGGAGAGAGACCTCCACTGTTCAAACATCTTTAGCTTTGACAAATAAGGCGTCCGGCTGTGAAAGGCAAAAGGAAATTAATTTGGAATCACACTTTAAACACTGCCATAAAGGCAAAGTATCTTCTCTCTAATTTCCCGCCCCCCCCAAGCAAAAAATGAATTTCCCTGATATTTATAGAAAGATTATTAGGGCCACAAGGAGTGATTTATATCATCTCATCCCCGTGATGGAAAATGAAAAATTGCTGGGGCGACAGCCACTGGAATCTTGCTTTTGTCCGCCTGACAATTAAAACGGCTAATTTCCAACTCTGCCAGATCTGCTGGGGTTATAAATCATTCCAGAAAGGCACTTTTCACTGTGAAAAATGAACTCTGCCCCAATCAAGCACAAGAAGCTTAGATCAGAGATTTGCATCTGTTTGCTTTCGTGTGTAAATATACGTACTCCAGCTCCACAGCCACCCACCAAAGGAGGTGCTAGGAAGGAGGTGCTGCCCTTGCTCGCTTGGTGCCGGGCTGTGACATTCCCTGTGCTAGGAGCTGCTGAGGATAAACGGGACAGGGACGGCAGGGGGACAAGGCAACACTGAGGTCAGAGAAAGTCCAGTGACACTTCTGTCCTGTTTCTGGTGCCACAAGCCCTGGGAAGCTCCACCCGAGAGCACTGCTGGTCCAGCAGCGTGGGTCTGAGTCCGCCTGCATCTGGGGAGGCAGCTTGGACCACGCTTCCTCCTGCGCCATGCCTACGGGCAGGGGCAATCCCACCACAAAAGGGCAGGAGGGCCGAGAATGAACTGTCCCACAGCTTCGCTCTCAGGAGAGAGACAAACGTGTTCGAGGAAACACAGCAAAATGAGGCAGGCTGAGCACAACACCGGTGCCAGGGCTTCCCTCAGCCTCCAGGCTTTGAGGTGCCTGTCTCCTGGGGCAGAGCCTGCTGCATGGGACCACAGGAGGGGGAACACAGGGAAGGGGTGCTTGGACCTTCTGAACCATATCTCCACTCACAGCTCCGTGCAGTTGTGGGGCTGGGACCTAGCTGTCCACGCAGCCCCTGTCAGTGCCCCCTCCCATGGCAGCACTCCCATTGCACCCACTCTTTAACGTGGGAGGAGACCCTTTCTGAATTATCAGAGCTATCCTAGGATGACTTTCAAATCAGTGGTTGCAGGCTGGAGGAGTTTCAGATAGAAGCTTTTATTCTGCCCGTCCTTCCCTTTCTGCGTAGCTGGGGACCCACTGGGGCCAGCACGTGGATCTGTTCCAGTCCAGTGTCGGACGTCCTAACCTTGCGACAAGTCTCCCAAGACAAATGCTCCACTTGACGTTTCCACAAAACTCAAACAGAAGCCCTGCACTCTTATTTGTGCTGCTTCCCTAAACACGCCCCATAAAGAAACGGAGAGCAAACAAATCCACGTGGAGGGCTCTCATGGGGAGCCCCGAGCGCCGTGCTCTGTACACACACACATCCCCACGCCGGCTGCACGGCTGCTGCTGGTCACCCCTCTTCCTTATCGCGGTTTGTACAGTCGGCGGCCTGACGTCTGCACACAGGTCCCCCGGGAAGACTCTCCACACCCCCGGACTGCAGCAGCCCCGGGCGGTGGTGAGGGGTGGACGCGATAACCTTCTTTCATAAAAGCTCAGTGGTTTTCGCTTTGCATTCCTCACTTTCAAACCCCCGGCCACAGGGGAGCGAGCGGTGGGGCATTTTGGAGAGGCCAGGTCGTGCTCCACTGGAGAGCGCCCGCAGAGAGCTCAGCACCAGCCAGAGCTGCTGGGGCACCAGGCTGGGACCTCTGGGCCACACGCTCCATGGTAGGGTACGACGGAGCCAGGGCAGGCCCCGTCCCGAAGCCAGCCCCCATCCCAAAGCCAGCCCCCGTCCCCAAGCCATGCCCTGTGCACCAGGACCCGTCCCATTCAGGCTCACAGGAGCTCATAAAGAGCCTGCTGGTGGTACCAGCGACACATTTTGGAAGCACAAAGCCGGCCAACAGAGGCTTGGGCAGCCCTTGGCCTTCAGAGAGGCTGGCTTTCCAAGTTTTTGTGAGCAGGCTTCTGCCCTCAGCTCTTCCCCAAAGAGGCAAGAGCCCCTTTGCAGCCATCCCTCCCCTTGCAGGCACCGCTAGCAAGAAGCAGGGACTCACCCATGCAGGAATCCCGCTGCTCTTCGTAGCCAGCACTGCACACGCACTTCCCGATGGGCACCAACCATTCTCCCTCAGCACTGCAGTACATTTTGGGCGTGTCCCTCTCCTCCGAATGGCCCACGCACTCTCCCCGCACTTCCACCAAGGAGGACGAGTCTGCCCCAGTCACAGCCTCAGAGAAGGATGCCAAGTTCCTCACCATTGCCGGGCATTTCTTGTAGTACACCCGCACCGAAACGATGGCAATGCAAGCACCTATGTCCTGGAAGGCCAAGTAGAAACCCCTCTTGCTCAGTGGCCCCACACCCCGCACCTCTGTGTTCAGCTTCAGGCGCCTCACCCCCAGGTCCACGTTGGTGAAGCTCTCATCAGCTGCGATGGTATCGATCTTCAGAAACTGGCTCTCCCGGGTGCTAGTGCCCAGGTCCCGGTCAGACTCCAGGTAGTAGAGGTTGAAAGTCTCCTTGCAGGTGCCCAGCACACCCGGCATGCTGTTACAGTCCCGCAGCGTGAATTTAATCTCTGCGTAGACACGCCGCGCACCATCCCGTTGAACCCAGTTGGTCCGTAGCCAGTTGTTCTGGTTGGGGGTCATGACATTACAGACCTGGTAGGTGTGGATGGGGCTGAAAAACTCATCCATTTCATTGATTGAATCCCACTGCGGGACAGAGAGAGAACAGGTCACTCCAGATGTCCCCAACACCAGGTGAGAAGTCTGTGCCATCACCCACCCCGCGATGAACTCCCTCTGCTCCTGCAGCTGTGTCTGGATGAGACATCACTGTTGCCACAGGCCAAAGGATAATGAGGATGAGCACACTTTACCCATCACTAATTTGAGCAGTAACTCTCACAGCCCACCCTGATGCGGGGCCGGGTGAAGTGCACCCCTGTTCGCAGACGGGAATGCTTGCATAAGCCCGATCTGATGACAGAAGCTGATGGCAGTGTGTGTTTGGGAGGGCTCCAAACCCTCCAAGACCATGTCTGCAAGTCCCTTCTCTTGGCGCTCAGCCTGCCGTTTGCAGCAGCAGCAGGAAGGCACCTGTGTGGGGCTCACCTGGTGCTCTTCTGGCTCACGCAATCTCCATGCACAAACTAAATATGCCAATGTCCAGCTGGAGAACTGCTTTCGGGGTGCATACTGCGGGGTGAAGGGGAAGCATGCAGTGAACACAGGACTTCCAGCAAGAAACAGGGGTCCATGGGTTCAGAGCCCTCTTCTTCCCAGGCAAGGTGAGGTTAGCATGGTTCCTTGGTGTCAGACCACAGTGCTCAGCCCAGCTGAGAAGCTGGGCAGCTTGGGAAACCCAGGGGCTTAGAGCTTGAGAGTTCTGGGGTTAAAATCCAGTGTAGCAGTGGCAGCAGGATGAGCCTGGGGAAGAGATGCTGGGCAAAAGCAGGCTGCAGCAAGCAGGACTGCAATGGAGGGGTGGTCTGGGTGAGTTTAGAGGGACAGGGATATTTGTGTCATCCAAGGAAGGGATGCTAAGTGGTTTTGACTGATGAAAAGTGAGAAGTAGTGAGATTTTGGGTATAAATGAGCTCCATAGTTGAGGGACAAGTTGAACTTAATAGTTGGGGTCTACAGGACATTTCTGGAGGCTCGTTCTTGCCTCCTTCTTGTCTCCCTCTACACTCCCACCCTCTACAACCCCATCAACCCCTCATCAGGACCCACAGACCTTCCCTTCTCTGGGGGCTTCCCACCACCTCTTCACCTCACATTCCTGCCCAAACCAGGCACCCCAATCACAAGTCCCATGGATGGGTCTGGGACCCTTAAATTCTTCTTATGGTAGAAAGAGGAGGAGGAAGAGGAGCAGAGAAGGACTTCAAACCTTCTGCCTTTTCCATGGACCTAGCAGCAAGCTTTGAAGACGCCCGAGTCCCACCACCATGCTCAAGTGCAGCTGTGAGGGGCAGCCCCAGGCACAGCCTTTCAGAAGCTGGGGAAGGTATCGGCACCCCAGCAAGCCATCGCCCCCCGCAGCCTCAGCACCCCCCTGCCCGCACCTGCCTCGGGCTGCCAGCTCTGCCTGCGCGTCGCTGGGGACCAGCCCCCCACCTCAGCATTGTGCGTGCCCTGCACCTGTGTGCTGCCTGGGGGGGCTGGGGAGCCAAGCAAAGCTCCAGCAGTCGTGCGCAGATCGGGAAAACAGATCTTTTAAGCAGCATTGCAAGTACATTAAAATAAACCTCTGGGCTTGCTCTGATGGGGCAAAAATGGTGTTTTCTTATGCAGTCGGTGACATGTGGTTCATTAGAGATGCAAAACCAACAGCAGCCCAGAGAGAAGGAGCCTGATGCTCGGCTCACAGCGGGTGAGCCTGAAGGCTTCACCCCAGTGACCATGGGAGCCGACGAGGATGCAGAGCTGCTGGGACAGGCACCCCACAGCCTCGCTGCGTGGCTGG